CTCTGGGGCAATTTCCCTGCACTAATTCTCCATACAGGAGATCTTTTGGAATCCAACCATCAACCATTCTCACAACATGCCCAAGCCAACATATATGTCACTATTTCAGTAATGTATAGATGCTAACAATTCCAGGTCATTCTAGGACTACTCGATTTGGAACTTTGTCCTGCCAGGTGATACCAAAATATGTCAGAGACAACGCATATTGAACATGCCAACTTCCTCTCCTGCTGTGTACAAAGGGTCCAGGACTCACTGCAATACAGGAGTGTACTCAGGACACAGGCTCTAAAGACCTGGATCTTGGTATATGCCGTCAGCTTCTTATTAAGTCATACTCTCTTTGTTAATCTAGATAACATAGTAGCTGCTTTGCCAATGCATTTACTGTATAAAAACAATCCAACTTATCACAAAGCAAAAATACAGGCGGCCAAAATGTGGCCCACGTGCACTTCTTGGGCAATCTCAATGTAGCCTGCTGGAGCCAATCCAATAGTCCTACAGTCTGGCTATTCAGCTAGAGAGCAGGAAAGGTCCCATTACTGTTGTGAGCACCATTAAGACAGAAATCCTGGGTAGTTCAGATTTTTAAATTTAAAAAAATGTATCAGGAAACATGGTATTTATAAAATTTTAGATACTGTTGTCTTATATGTATGGATGATGCCTTTTCTTCTTGTTCTTATCTAAAAACCATGCACAGGCCAATGTAATGAACTGATTTGTATTTAGGTGTATAAAAGACTGGGGACAAAAACTTTTCAAAATATTACTGGCTTGTGGTTGTTGTGGGTTTTTCGGGTTCTTTGGCCATGTTCTGAAGGTTGTTCTTCCTAAAGTTTCGCCAGTCTCTGTGGCCGGCATCTTTAGAGGACAGCACCAGAGCAAAGAGTACTGTCCTCTGAAGATGCCGGCCACAGGGACTGGCGAAACATTAGGAAGAACAACCTTCAGAACAGGGCCAAAGAGCCCGAAAAACCCACAACAACCATTGGATCCGGCCGTGAAAGCCTTCGCGAATATATTACTGGCTTGTATAATTTGCTGCCAGAGGATACTGTTACAGATTTAGTTAAGAACTTATGCAGCAGTAATTGCAGCCAGCATACTGCACATAATTACTCAATTGCTTGTTTGACTATTTATATGAATGGTTATCACTGCATCAACTTTGTGTATTTTTTTAAAGAGCTAGACACATAGTTTTCTCCACTGAACACGGGAACTGAATCAGCCTCTGGGAATGATTCTGTGCTCAAAGAATGTATTAGACATTCTATCCAACCTCAAAGGATAGAGCTATGAATTAAAATGTCTGCAACCAGTTTAAACTGCACACCTTCTACTCAAATACTTAGGCTGTTATGATTACTCATAAAAGATACTGTATTAAGTCCTTTTAAGCATCTAGCTCTATGTGAATACTATTACTAATATTATCTGCCTTTTTATTTGCTGGACCTCCGGAGCAGTCCTATCATTAGACAACGGCAGATACTGAAAGGGAACAGCAGTGAAGTACTGAGAGACAGCGCTACAGCTGCTGCTTGGTCAACTCTACATCTACTTTGCTCTCCTGGTCTCTTCACGCCTCCTTGATCTATGACACTGAATTTTAAGTCAATTTCCAGACCGCATAGTGTGCCATTGCCTCAGACAGCAAAATATCCTAGACTGGACCTGCTACTCACTAGCTGTGCAAAACAAGTATACACTCAAAAGCACAATTGATGAAGGATGAGAGCCAGTGGCTATGAGTCACACTAGCTATATACTCCTTGCAGATCCTAAGGTATTATGTTACTAAGATGTAAGTTAGTGGGGAACCACAGTACAAAAGGCTTGTTTCCTGCATATTCTGCTTTTGGGTGTCCCATTGCTATCTGGTTGACTATTGTGAGAAACAAAATTATGCAGTACTTTTCTATATGAACAAGTCTCCTCTTAATCAGAACACACATTCTGTAACTCCATTTGTCATCAGCCAGACTAGACCCAATTGGGGGGGGGGCACACTTTGTAGCATCAGATATGTAAACAATACAGTGAAACAACATAAAACACAAGGATAATGGTTAAATCAAAGGATCTTTCTATTAAAATTCCTTAACCTTTCTACAGTCCAGAACCAAACATAAATTTTCTTGTAACTTCTGGGTGTTTCACAATTGTGCCATCCTCCAACCTTCCTCCAGCCCCCTAAATCTGCTCCACAAGACTGGGGGACCTTTCATAACAGATTAGGAGTATCACAAAAGGAAATTCCATATAGGAACAGGAATCTTCTCACAGGAAATTATATATGGCCCATAATTTATACTGTAGTATCAATAGAGCAGTTGATAGCACAACGTACAGCATTTTAGACCACAGTAGCAAAGTACACCTGGATAAAATAAGGGGGAAAGGTCCCAGCTGATTCTAAATAAGTTGTTCACTCAGTTGTCATAAACTGAATTATATATGAAATAAGATATCTTATATTTTCCAGCATTTCCATCATACGAGAAAGTTCTATGTGTATAATAAAAACTATTTTTATATCCAGCAGAAACATAGTTCAATTTCTCATACAGAAACACCAAGGTAGCTTTAGATCTCAGGTTCTGCAAAAGCAAACAAACCCTTTTTGTTGAATTAAGCCACATAAACCTTTCAAAGCATTTTTACTAAAGCCCTTTCTTCTGAGGCAACTGTGAAAACATTCATATTCAGTAATTAAGACTTTGTCTAGGATAGAATGATCATATTGGCCGGAGAGGAAACTGGAATACACATGTTATTGGAAAAGCCTTGGATTTGCATAAAGTATATTCCTGATCAATAATTAAAAACCTGGCTCGATTTCTCCTTATGAAATAAATAGGAAAACATTTTTTACTCTCTTCATCATGACATGGCTGGCATTTTGTTGATCCTTGTGAATGCTCCTGCCTCTTTGTGAGGTTTCTGCATTTGTGTAAAGTGTACAATACTGGAAAATATCACAACTGTTAACATGAACACTGTTAACATGAACTAGTTACATAGTATTAGATGAGTCTTTGCATATTTGTAAGCATCCTGGTATGTGGTGCTTGCTGTGTATAGATTCTTGGCTTCACAAAAAGAAAAGATGCAAGTTTTGTGCAGAAACAGGAGTTTTACTAATCGTATTTTGCACAAATTGCAGAAAGCATAAGAAACACTATTTGGCATGTTGGTCTTCTGTTGCAGATCTCTTAAGGGGGTTGCCAAATGCCACAATGCAGACTAAACATAACAGGATGATCAGCTTTATGTAAAATCTCAAGAACAGTGATATTTTTCACATCTCATTTCCTATAGAACAGATCGAGAGAGAGAGATAATTCAAACAGCCCCAACACAACTTAACAAAGCAGAAAGTCAAATAAGCCTTGTGAATGCTCCTGCCTCTTTGTGAGGTTTCTGCATTTGTGTAAAGTGTACAATACTGGAAAATATCACAACTGTTAACATGAACACTGTTAACATGAACTAGTTACATAGTATTAGATGAGTCTTTGCATATTTGTAAGCATCCTGGTATGTGGTGCTTGCTGTGTATAGATTCTTGGCTTCACAAAAAGAAAAGATGCAAGTTTTGTGCAGAAACAGGAGTTTTACTAATCGTATTTTGCACAAATTGCAGAAAGCATAAGAAACACTATTTGGCATGTTGGTCTTCTGTTGCAGATCTCTTAAGGGGGTTGCCAAATGCCACAATGCAGACTAAACATAACAGGATGATCAGCTTTATGTAAAATCTCAAGAACAGTGATATTTTTCACATCTCATTTCCTATAGAACAGATCGAAAGAGAGAGATAATTCAAAGAGCCCCAACACAACTTAACAAAGCAAAAAGTCAAATAAGGAGAGTAATCAAATACTGGCTGACAGTGCTATTTGCCTTAGCCCAGGGTGGGCAGCACATAGCATGCAGACCACATACATCTCTCCAGGCAATTTTTGGAGTTCCTGCTGGGTAGCCCTTCAATCACAAGAACTGTACTGCCAAAATTAAATGGTCTGGCTGCTTCAAAACCACATCAAAGTCAAAGCTTCATTAAAGCATGCAGACCACATACATCTCTCCAGGCAATTTTTGGAGTTCCTGCTGGGTAGCCCTTCAATCACAAGAACTGTACTGCCAAAATTAAATGGTCTGGCTGCTTCAAAACCACAAAGTCAAAGCTTCATTAGAGCTGCTGCTTGCTTCTTCTAATCTGCCTTTCTTTTCCCCCTCTGGCACCCACACTCCATTCCTGCATAGCATCCTAGAGATTTGCTGCAGATGACACCCAATTTCAGTGGTGACATCAGCATGAGTGGTGTGCTCCTCATGGATTTCAGAGAGTTCTGCCAACAGGAAATTGCCTATGCCTCCTTCACTACTGTGACTGATGAATCACACAAATAAAAAGACCTTCCATGTTTATTAATAGTCACTTCTCTGATTGTGTCTGGTAAATAGGAACTGCCTTCAGCGAAGTTTCACCAACACTAGTATAAACTACCATCACCATCCTTGATTAAGGCCATACACAGTTAAGTGATTTAAGACTGGCAGACCATTAGCTGGATGAAGCTTGGACTATAGATTTCTTTTCAACAACGCTATAATGTATCTTTACTAAATCCAGACACTTTAACCAATGCCTAAACTGTCTGTTGAACATCTATCCTTCATGCCTATTTGCATATGCCTCAAAAAAGAGGCGAGACTTATGTCTCATGACTTAGTTCACTGTGAATATTTATCCCACTGAAAAGTACTGGGATGGATGCAATATGCAAGCTCTGGATAATGTTTATTCATGACAATTCATTTCCATTTCAGTACATATTGCTACAGTCATTCAGTGATGAACATTCCTGTAGTTACTACACATTAATGCTCCACAAAATGTAAACTCCTTTGATGGTTAAAATTTTGATTGTGAGAACTGGTTCTGCTTAGCATCCCAAGATATAACAAGATAGACCCCAAGATTTAATACTTTAAAGTTTTTATTGTACAAGTTAACCAAATAAGACTGAAAAACAATGCTAATGTCAGAAAATAATTTTTTCATTAATTATAAGAAACTGAGAATGTTAGAAAGAATGTTCTTGAAGGCATTTTACACTGACCATGTACAATATTTCAAATACTCTGATTTATTCCTATGTAGAGTCACAGAATCCACTTTCACCAAAGTATAACAAAAGAACATTCCTATGTTTTAGGTACCCAAAGTGAGATAGCAATGACATCTTTATTGAACTCTTCCATTTTGTAAGCTGAACTACATTAGATGGAGACACAGTAACCTCGCTGACTCCACCTTATTTTGTATAAGGCAGAAAAGTTTACCAATCCAAACAATATTTTACAAAAAAGTAAAGATCACATGTTTTGGCTCACATTTGGGCCTAAAGTCACCTTAAGGAAAAGCTTGGCTTCTTAATGAAAGTGCTGATGATCCCATAATAGCTTCAGATGTTGCACATGACAATCAGCTTCTAAGGCAGGAAAAATGACATTAGTGCTTCTGTTGCATACTACACCTTCATTCTCCTATAATTTATATACAATCTATTGACAGTGACTGGAGGAGAATTCAGGAGGACAATGAACAACATAATTAAGGAGAAGGATCTTCACCCCGAATAGCTTTGTACTTGGCCATATCCTCTGGGAACACTTTGAACAGCTCTTGAATCAATAGGCTTTTGAATTTCTAAGAAAGAAAGGAAATAAGTTTATTTATATATTTAAATATCTCTACACTGCTTTCCCCCTATAAAGAGACTTAAAGCTAATCACAATAACTGAAACACTAATAAATCAAGTTGAAAACTTCCAAAAATGAGCAGATCATCAAACAGATGATGAACAAAACAAAGCAAAAATATATATGTTCCATTAGAGCTGGAAATGACAGAACCTGAGTGCAACAACATCAAGCAAGCAAGACTATTATTCAATAGTCGCATTTCAGTGAGTACGGGGACAGGCAGTTGACTCAACCCCAGGATCCAGAGGCTGCAAAAAACTCACAAAATGCCAAAAAGAAGAAGAAGCCGAAACTTGAAGTGGCTTTAAACAATTACTTTCATGGTGTTTTGTAATGCAGGGTACCCTTCTGACCTATCTAAAAGCTGAAATCAGGACTTGCAACTCACCTTTTTTTGCTGGAAAAATAGGGAACTACATTTTCACATACCTACACTAGATAGAGGAAAGTAAGGTATGATTTGTACAAATGTAAATACCAATCAAATTACCACACTACTTCACAGACTTCTAGTCTTTTTTCTAACCTGCTGAATAAAAGCGATGACAGAAAGAGTGTGTCGGGGGCCCTTCAGTGTTGCTTGTAACTTGGATGTGAAGAGCAAAACCCTAGCCTCTACAAAATTGTATCTCAAAATCCTTTCAGCCCTTTGCCATAATAGTGAGGAGCACTACTATACCGAGTCCAAAGAGTTCCCATTCAGACAAACTATTATTTAATTTTTTAAAAAAAAATTGCCCTGACTTTCTCCTTAAAAGGACCCAAAGTTCTTGGCTTAACAGTGATCTGATGCAAAATTAGTCTTCAGTTGAAAATCTTCATATAGTATTTTATTTTACATCTTTCTTTTAAAGTAAATCTTTTTGCAGAGCAAGGATCAGATTGGTTCCAGGTAAGCACAGCGTAGGATGCATGTCTGTGCTGGGTGGGGCTATAGGCCCACAGTAGGCAAGGCTGCCCAACAGCTAGCTTGCAGCTCCAACATGGTCACCCTCTCTGCATTCACTTGTACATGCATATACATCAGTTCTACCTCACATCTAATTAAACACACATGTAATTGAATTGTAATTACCAAGCCCGATGTCCCCTCTAAATATTTAAATATAATTAGCCACTCTAACACAATCACTGTTATTAAGCAAAGCAGAGCTTTTTGCTTCGCTATTAAGTAGTAATGGTTTTGTATGAAACACTTGCATCTTACCTTCATAGTGTCAATTTTGCCTTTCACTTGTTCATTTTTTGCTAGAGCTCTTTCCAAACATTCTTTAGTATAGAGTTGGGGATTGCGACCCTGATCTATGTACCTGAAGAATAAAAATTAAGTCAGGTGCGCTAGCAAGATTCACACATAATGTGAAATAAGCATACAAGCCATCTATCCATATTAATATCTAAAGCACACTAGAATATGTCTCAGACCTGCAGTCAAGAAAATTTTGCCCAAATATCCCATATCTGATTATATACAAAAACCACTATAAAACCAAGTATGTCGTGATCAGTCAACTTTTTGTATCCACAGATAAGTACTACCTTTTCAGTCAGTCAGTCAGTCAGAAACCTTTATTGGCATACTGAGTACAGTAAAACAGACAAATACAATAACATACAACTAAAATGTTCACTGGGTAATGGGTAAGAAGGGCCAGCCAGGAGCATATTTAGGGCTCTTCATTCTGCGAGACCGTGCTACGACGTCTCTGCATGATGGCATATGCGTATCTGGCAGTTGACAGGGTAAGTTCCTTAATATTGCCACTTAGAAGATGCTGCATTTTCCTCATATCATCCCATCCGGAATGGGAGGAGAGAAAAGCACACAGATGGGACAGGCGAATATCCTTGTACAGAGTACAATAAAATAGCATGTGCTGCAGGGATTCAAGCACTCCCTGACCACACGGACAGAGTCTCAGTTCTATTGGTAAACCCTTGTACCTGCCCTGCAAGTAAATGCTTGCATGCAGAGCTGTCAAATAAGGTAGAAATAGAATGAAAACTTTCACAGAAGTATTATTTGAGGCCAGAAGCAGAATTAAGAATGTGAACACTAAATATCAAGGTGGATTTGATTTAAATCAGTTTGATTTACATAAAAAAATCACAGTTGACTTTTCAAAAATTGTGATTTAAATCAATTTGATTTTTTAAAATCAATAATTTTCATTATGAAATGATTCATCAAAATCAGAAGTATACTCACTTCTACAAAGTACTGACTTTCTACTGAAATAGAAGTGGGGAGCCGCGTGGCCATTACAAAATACAAATGGAAGAATAAGTGATACTTTAATTTTCTACTGTTCACAACATGCACTCTTATCTACAGTGTTGCTCATTAATTACATTGTTAAGATATGTAAGACTGCTTTACTGTGAACAGTACCACCAACAATTTAGAACTAGAAACCAATTGTAACAACAAAGACAACCACTTACTCAAACACTTCCAAAGGCACGCTGATTTCATGAAGTTGCTGCCGGCACTTGTCAATATCTTGTAAACCCGTAACCATAAAATTCCTAGGCAGAAATGGATTACATACATTATATGGAATAGTATTTTAAATCAAAAGTTGACAATCAATTCCCATGTATACCATGGACTGTCTTCAAATAAAAATGTCACTAAGCTAAAGCTCTCAAAGCAAAAGAACTACAGAGAAAAAAATACTGACAAATCTCATCTTCCTCCTCCTGAAAACTGACCACATATTCTGAGTATACACGGCTTTTTAAGATTTGACAAACCAAATCAGAGCAGCCCTACTGAAATTAAGATTTGCTGTATCTTAATAATGAGTGACGTAAGTCATGGCTGAGGGCTACAATGGCGCAGCGGACAACAAACTGGATTGGGATTTACAGTGGACCCTCTACTTAAGGAATTAATCCATATTGGAATGGTGGCTGCAAGTCGAAAAGTCTGTAAGTCGAATCTCCATTGACCTACAATGCATTGAAAACCAATTAATCCCATAACCAGTGGTTTTTATTCTATTTTTATTCCATTTTGGTTTTTTTCTGGTCTGTAAGTCGATTCTCTGGCTGCAAGTCGAATCTAAATTTTGCAGCCAGAGAAGTCTGTAACTCGAAAAGTCTGTAAGTCGAGCCGTCTGTAAGTCGAGAGTCCACTGTAGAAGGCTTGGGTTCAAGCCCTGAATTAGCCATGGAAACTCCTGGGGGACGGGAGTAAAGACAAACCACTCTTTGAACATCTCACAAGCCTTGTGAGATGTAACTATAATATGGTGTACATATGGTTATCTCTGAAGACAACCTGTAAGCTACAACTAATGCAATGGTCAAAATTATAAGCCATATAGTCAAAGAAAATGACATCACATTGATCTAGGAGAACTGTACTGCTGTATATTTGCTTCACAGCCAATTTGGAATCCAGATATCTGCAGGGTTGTATTGCCCAATACAAGACTCGTGACGTGACACTGAAAAATCATCTTCTTCAAATAACTTGGTTATATTGAACATAAGAAGAGCCCTGCTGGATTAGGCCAAGGACCCACCTAGTCTAGCTTCCTGTATCTCACAGTGGGCCCACCAGATGCCTCTGGGAACACACAAGACAATTAGATACCTGCCTCCTGATACCTCTCCCCTATATCTGGCATTTGGAGGTACAGTGTCTGCCTTTTTAGCCTGGAGATTATACATTCCCATCATGGCTTTTAACCTGTCATGGACTTCCTTCAGAATCTGCCCATTCACCTTTTAAAGGCATCTATGCCAGATGCCATCACCACATCCTGTGGCAAGGAGTTCCACAGATCAACAACACACTAGGCAAAGAAATATTTTTATTAGTTCTCACTCTCTCAACACTCAAATGGAGTGCATGTTCCCTGGCTCTGGTATTGCGTGAGAGGGAAAAGAGCTTCTCTATCTACTTTATCCATCCCCTGCATAATTTTATATGTCTCAAACATGTTCCCCCTCATACGCCTTTTCTCAACTAAAGAGCCCCAAATGCTGAAGCCTTTCCTCATAAGGGAGGTGTCCCAGCCCAGTCATCATTTTAGTCGCTCTCTTCTGCATCTTTTCCAGTTCCACTATGTCTTTTTTGAGGTGCGGCAACCAGAACTGTATGCAATACTCCATGTTTTGTACAATGGCATTATAATGTTGGCTGTTTTATTTTCAATCCCCTTTCTAAGGCTACCTAGCATGGAATTGGCGTTCTTCACTGCTGCTGCACACTGGGTTGACACTTTCATCGAGCTGTCCATCAGCACACCAAGATCTTTTTCCTGATCAATCAAGGACAACTCAGAACCTATTAACTGATAGTTTTGATTTTTTTTTTTTGCCCCAGTGTATATTGCTTTACATTTTCTTATACCGAAACACATTTGCCATTTTGTCGCCCATTCTCCCAGTTTGGAGAGATCCTTCTGGAGCTTTTCACAAGGTCTTCTGGTCTTCACCACCCGGAAAAGTTTTGTGTCATCTGCAAATTTGGCCACCTCACCGCTTATCCCTGTCTCCAGGTCATTCATAAACAGGTTGAAAAGCACCGGTCTGAGGACAAATCCCTGGGGCACACCGCTTTTTCCTTCTCTCCACTGTGAAAACTGTCCATTGACACCTCCTTTCTGTTTGCTGGTTCTCAATCAATTCTCAGTCCATAAAAGGTTCTGCCCTCTTATCTCCTGACTGTGGAGTTTTCTCAGCAACCTTTGGGGGACTGTGTCAAACGCCTTCTAAAAAACCAGACAGACAGTATCCACTGATTCACCCACATCCACATGTCTGATGACCTTTTCAAAGAATTCTAAAAGGTCTGTGAGGCAAGACTTACCCTTACAGAAGCCGTGCTGATTTTCCTTCAGCAAGGCTTGTTCTTCTATGTGTTTTAAGATTTTATCTTGGATGAGGCTTTCCACCATCTTCCCCGGAACAGACCTTAGGCTAACCAACCTGTAGTTTCCTGGGCCGCCTCTCCTTCCCTTTTTAAAGACTGGTGTGATATGTGCTCTGGCACTGTGGCCATTTTAAGGGACAAATTGTATATAGCAACTTCATTCCTCAGTTCCTTAATAACCCTTGCGTGGATGCCATCTGGGTCTGGTGACTTATCAATCTTCAATTTATCAATTAGGTCTAAAATATCCTTTCTTTTAACCTGTATCTGATTTAATTCATTAGTCAGGAGGGGATGTTCAGCTGAAATCATGTTGCTTAACATAGTAAGCCACAAGTAGAATAGGCCTATTGAATCAGTGGGGATTTGATCAGTCACCAACTCTGTAAATTCCACTGATTTAAAAGGCCTAATCTAGTTACAACTTACTATGCTAATCAGTAGGATTTCAGCCATTATATGCCAATATAAAGTATCTTCCCTGAAATTGTGTAGGTGGCACCAACACTGCACCCTTGTTTCAATTCCAATCTTTTGTTTTGCTTTGTTTTCTGTTGACCTCTGAATCTGAACTCAGTACATATGCACTAAACTGTATCTACTGCCTCCTTCCTTATTCAAGTGATTTTTTTGTTCTCTGCATTATTTTAATTATGCCTTATTACATGGTGCCCCCATATCCTTTAAGATAAAGAACTGTTCTAAAATGTTTGTAAAAAAAAAGTTACTAGTATAATCAGAAAAGAACTATGCAATGCCTCCCACTAACCGATAACAAGGCAAAGGGGGAAAGACGACCTGCCTGAGGCTACGCAGAAGCATATGGGTTCGACAACTAGGATGACGGATTAGCGGCTCTTTTAATTAGAAAGATTACTTCAAAAGCGAAGCAAGGGAAGTAAACAACCACACTGAGCAACCCACAAAAATCGCGATCGCCATTTAAACACTGTTTAGTTATGACTTTGGGCATTTGTGAAGCAGGCCAATTCAAATACCTGGGGCACTCCAGAAAGCTTTGGCACTGAAAGGTCTCTCTCCGCTTACAGACCACTCCAGGGGACCTCCTTCAGCCCCCAGCCCTGCCCTTCCCTTCCCTGCCCCTACTTCCCTCACCACCGCCTCTCGCACCAAGGGCATGACAGACTCCAAAAGGCACCACCTGCTCTGAGGAAAGCGACGGGGGAAGAGACTCGCTAAGGGAGGAGGGTCGGACACCGTGAAAGGGAACGCGCGACTCACAATTTCTGGTTGAGGCCCGCCTGGCTGCTGGGCTGGAAGTCGCTGACGATGATGCCTAACTGCCGGATGTTCTCGACAAACTTCTCCAGGTGCTCCTCTAAGGAGTCGAACTTCTCCGCCATCCCTCCCTCCAATCCCTTCGGGAACCTCCAAGCACATCCACGCTCTTCTCAAGCCTCTCTTACTCCCTCCATTGCTACGCACGCCGCCATGGAGACGGAAAGCGCTATTTCCGCTTCCGGTTTAAGGGCCACTCCTCCCTCCCTCCCGTGAGGCCCACTGTTTGAAAAGACTCGACAGCGTCTCCGTATTAGAGGACGCGGTGTCGTGCGCATGTGCAGCGAATGTCCCTCCGCTCTCCGGCAGTAGGTTCGGGTCCTTTTTTTTTTTTATGGGTAAAGCACTGGCTCCTCCTCTGTTGCTGCGCATCATTCCAGTTTTGTGGTAATTTGAGGAGTGAGGAGTGAGAACAGGCTTTTCCGTTTTGGATGCATGTGGAAGTGGGTCATGGAATGGCACAAACATTTGTGAACCGTTGTATTCTCCATGAAATTCCCGAGATTTCTTTTAGTTAAAGATGCACTAGAAATTCCCTTCAAAAATATAGGGAAGCTTTATTTTCCAGAGGCTGTCCTGTGATGGTTTTATTTGGACGCACAAAAAGCCACAAAATTCTCTGCACAAGAGTATGAAATGATCACGTTTCTTTGTCGATGTTTTTATTTATTTATTTAATATCCCGCCTATCTGACCTTGCGACCATGTTACAAAAACGGGCGTTTAATGAAGATGCCGACATCTTTCACCCACCACAGGACCAAATATTAGAAAATATTCAAAACGCAAAGGGTCAAAGCTAAAAAAATACAATAAATTACAGTTGTAAAAAACACTTATATTACATCATTTTAAAACTTGAATACAAACAATTAAAAACCATTTGAAAGCATTTAAAAAGATTAAGCATATGATACTGTATTTGCACTTCTAAGATATTAAAATATATCCCCCTAGGGGGAAAAGCCTTGCTTTAGAAAGCAATTAACTATGAAGAAAGTTCCTTGGCAGCCAGTTACTTATTAAAAGCCTGCCTGAAGACAGAGGGCTTTGCCTGCTGGCAGAAATACAGTATAGGAGAGATTTCACCTGGAACCGTTCCCCAACCCCAGTGTTGTTGACATCAGGAAAGGCCATTAAAAAAATAAAATGTAGATCTCTATTTTGGAAGTGCAACAACTCTATTGCAGCTCAAAGGTATCCTGTACAAGGCCACATCCTGCATTAAAGAAAGAAATTAGTCTTACACTGTTTCTTTACTGCCATGCCCATTGAAGAGATTTTTCCTTTTTTGCCATTTTAGCTGGCCTAATAAAGGTATTACCACAATGTGCATTTTAGTTGATCTTGCCATCTGTTTCCATTAATTTCAAAAGAGCCACAGCACTGAGGGAAATGGCTGTGCACTTAATGATGTGTATCGCTCAGTGGTTTAGGTATCCAGCTGTGGATAGAGGTTTGAAAATTTGATTCCCCACTGTGCCTCCTGCGAAATAGAACCAGCCTGTGTGGCCTCAGGCAAGGTGTACTGTCCCAGGACAACCCCAGAAGAAGGGAAGGGTAAACCATTTCGGAGTATTCTCCATGTGGAAAACCCTGAAAAGAGTCGCCATAAGTCAGAATTGACTTGATCGCCCATGACTATTTTTTAAAAAACAGAAACTATCCCTGATCATTTGGTGCAATTGGAACATATGTTTTCAAGTACAAACAATTCATTGATTGCATTTATATACCACACATCTACTGGCAAACCATTACACTGGGTTGGTAGTTAACAAAAATTAGAAACACCTACTCACCAAACAAACAAATATCGCAGAAATCATAACGATCAATGAAGGGGGGGGGACCAGAGGCAGCTGCAAACAAATTTCAAACTTAAGAACACAGAGAGACATCCAGAGTGTCATGGGAGAGAGTATTCTTAAAGGTCAGTTTGAAAAGCTCAGATTTCACATGTTTTCTGAAGGTCAGAAGAGAAGGAGCCTGGCATATGTCAACAGGCAATGGTTCCATAGTGTAATGGCCACCACTGAGAAAACTCGCTTCTTGGTGGTACATTTCTGGATCTCTTTTGGGGAGATCACGTAGACCATAGACAATCTTAGGGAAAGCCACTCCAACAGGTAATGAGGTCCCAAACCACTAAAGACTTCATAAGTTAGTACTAGCACTTTGAATTTGTCACAGAACAAAACAGGAGGTGAATGAGGGCATGCCAGAATCAGGAAAATCTGGTCATATTTCCAGGCTCCTGACACTAACCTAGCCACTGCATTTTGCACCTGCTTAAGCTTCTGTATCACCTTCATGTACAGAGCATTGCAGCAATCGATCCTAGAGATTACCAGTGCTTGGACCATTGTGGCTGACACTAACCTAGCCACTGCATTTTGCACTTGCTTAAGCTTCCGTATCGCCTTCATGTACAGAGCATTGCATCAATCGATCCTAGAGATTACCAATGCTTGGACCATTGTGGTTAGGGATTTGTTGTCCAGAAAGGGCTACAACTGTGCAATCTGCTAGAGATGGAAAAAGGCACAGCTAGCCACAATGTGCCTATTAGCTCGGTCGCACATGCATAGTCCGAGTTCCAAGTTCCAAGCCTTGGGGGGGGTGGAGCCAAAGACTCGGATACTCTGGCACATGCATAGTCCGAGTTCCAAGTTCCAAGCCTTAGGGGGGTGGGGTGGAGCCAAAGACTCGGATACTCTGACTTGGGACTCAAGACTGAAGCCTCAAGATTCACATTTGGACTTGAGACTCAGTCCTGAAGACTTACCAACATCCCTGGCAAAAATTACTACAATGTGGGAGCAAACTGAAAGATGGCCATCCTGCAAGAAAACACATCTCCCATAGCAGATTAGTCGTCTTCTCAAATGAAAGATGGCCATCCTGCAAGAAAACACACCTCCCATAGCAGATTAGTCTTCTTCTCAAAAGATACCAAGCCACAATATAGTCTTTTGTTAAAGGAGCTCCATCCATAGAGACTACCACTGAGAGCACTGTGTTAGACATTGAAGCTGATGCATAGACTGTGCCAAAGAACCACTCTCAGATGTTCTATAATTTGAGGATATCTCAGGCAGGAAGACAGTTTCTAAGAACTCTTAAAAACTCTTCCAAAATCTTTTACTAGACTTTAAGGTTTTTTTTCCTATGCAATATGAAAGCATAAACTAGCATTAGTCATTAATTATTGGCCCCATATTTTCTGAAACCCAAGAAGCACTACGCTTGCTAAATCAAATGCAAAAACAGCTCCAGACAATAGTACAAGATATAAATCTTATGTTCTACCAGTTGCAGAGACTTCAAGCTTGCCATATCTGTCAAATAAATAACATCAGTATGCAGAGGTTCTGCATTTTCTTCTGGGTAAATCAATACTTTATAATAACTGGCATCATTTACAAATGCCAAGTGCTTATGTTTTATAGTACTTCCTGATTTTCCCTCTTTCTCTATTAATAGCTCAGGGGCTCTTGCTGTTATCTTCGTGGCTGTCTTTGTGCTTCTGATGTGTTTCATTATTCTTTCTTATTTTACAGTTCCTTTGTTTCTGCCATCTTTAGTCAATAACAAGCAGGATATGTGCTTTCAGGTTTCTTTGCAATAAAGCTTTGGCTGTGCTTCATCTGAAATGATTAGATCTGAGCATGTTTTTCATCTTCCCAAAGTCCAATGCTCAGCTCTGTTTCCATATCCTGGCAGTTTGTCTCCAGAGTCCATCATACTGTGTAAGAACAGTGTAAGCTAGTTTGCTTGTTTATTTTGCCCTGTATAAACTTCCAAAGGATGTTCTTTGACTTAGGAGAATGGCAGCTAGACTCAGTAGCAAAAAACTCCTATACTAATTCAAACACAGACAGAAACAGCCTGCACACACAGAGAGAGAGAGAGAGAGAGTAGTTTGTTGCTACTGAGTCTGGCTGCCTTTCTCCTAAGTTTCCTGCCTGTGACTTTGGGAAAGAGGGTTTAGTGTTATCCTGTAGTTTCCTGGTTGCTAGAGGGAAGTCTTGTAAGCTCTGAGACTCCCTTGGCTTGGGGTGTCACATAAGGAAGGAGGTGGTGACAGGGAGTTACCTGTCTTTTAAGATTTGTGTTTTCTCTGATAAGCTCAAGTGTACCCAGAGAGGTCATGGATTCTGGGCTTTTGGCCTGTATCCCCCACTTTGTGACTACTGTATGACCTTCTTAAACATATGCTCCAATTGATGTGTATAGTGTCACTAGACCACAAAACATATTAACCATTGCTATAAATGTAGTTCCTCTCCCTAGTGTAATAATTGTGTTTGCATAGCTCCCTGTCGTGTGTGCCTTTTCTTTTAAAGCAATGCTTGTACCCATCAGCTACTCGGGGATCATATGGTAGGCAGAGCACTGAACTTGAACTGAGGACACCCGAGTTCAGCAATGATGCTGTCACTATCCATTGGCCTGATAGACTTCACCAGGCTATAATGAGAATAAAATGGGGGCAGAGGGGATGGATATTATTATAAGCTCCTTGGAGAATGGATAGGACACAAATATAATTAAGATGTCTAGTAATTCCTCAAGCCTTGATAGCTCTTATGGTGCTCAAAGCCAAAGCAGTGATTCATTATTCTTTCCCTAAAATGCCACACAGCCCTAGTCAGAAAAAGAAACTTGCAAAGAAGTGCATGGTGTGCTGTTTCCATTGGGCTAAAGTCATTAGTGGGAAAATGCAAAACATGTATATTAATAACTGATGACACCTCTGTTCTCACAAGCATATGCAAGAACTGGGACAGCAAGAGGGGGAGAGAATACATATTCTCCCTGCAAATTCTTCTGCCTATAAGTGGAGCTGTTCCACCCAGTAAGATGGCACTTCTTTGTCTTGTAATTTATAGCTTTGTGAGTTAAAATGGCATTGGAGGATTTAGAGGAGGCTGTGTTGGAATGTACACTCCCATCTGTTTTCCGAGATTTCCCTGTCCTTTAATCAGTACATATCTGAGTAGTATTAATAAGCATGGCAGATTCAGTTGCTCAAGAGTCATGCCATGGAATACCACTGACTTGATGAAGGACACTGATTTACTATACCAAGCGCTACACTCTCCTCATTATATTTGTCCTTGAAAATTTATCAGGCAAAGAGTAATCTGTTATAACCATTCTCCTTTACTGGCCCTTTCTGCCTAGAACTCGTTTCTCCATGGGGTATGCAATG